GCTTTTTTAACTTTTCAAACAAACCTGGAAAAATATTATGCAGCGCAACAGTTTTTGAACTTGATAATAATATGATTTTTTCTTGAGCCCTAAATCAGTATATTAGAATGATTTCTGAAACATCACATGACACTGAAGATTAGAGTAATGGCTGAAAATTCAGCTTTGCCATCAGAGCTTAAAATATATTAAGAAAGAAAACATTGTTTTAATTTGTAACAACATTTCACAACATTACTGTTTTTACTGTATTTTTGATCAAGTAAAGTGTAGTACCGGTAAATGGTAGTATTTGTGTGTATTTCTGTTTCTTTTTATGTATATATGTGTGAATAAAAGAAAAATTTAGTTGAAATTGTTCCTTTTTCTCTTGAGTGTTTCTATAATTCCTCCCCTTTTTCTGTTTCTCTTGAACATGGCAACATATGGCTGGTGAGACAGGAATCTCGTCAAGCCCTGCCAATTGGAGAAAGTGTTTACACTCCCAAATTGCTGACTGAGACTCATGCTGAATCACTAGAGATTGAGAAGAGAAGACTTTAGAGTAGGTTGAGGCATAGGAGGATAAATCGCATGCGATTTATCGTGCAGCCCTACTGGCAAGTTAAGTGGCAGCAGTAGTACTTTTATGCTCTTAATGATGGATCACTCTTTCTCCCACATCGTTTTTGGCCATGCATCAACTTGATCTAATGATTTTCCTGAATAACACACCGATGAGCATCTAACTGGTTCTATGATGATTTGTCTGCATTTTAGACTTTGCTCTGGATGACACCTTTGCTTGAGAGCACTATATGAACTACACTAATACTTGGAGGATTTTTTTTCCAGGTGTGTTTAAAGACCCCTCATGGCTATAGGCTGTGCTTGTCTTAAATGAGGTAGAGGTAGAGATGTTTATTGAGTTTTTAAAGTGCTTTAGCTTCAGTGTACGCAGCACACAAAGATTGGATTAAAGTGTGCACTAAACATGCTTCGCTAAAACTTGTGCTGTAGAGCCACAGTGAACTGGCCATATGTTCCCTGGTCTTTTTTCTGCTTTGTGAATCAATTGTGAAATTGATGCAGTGTCTTATTACAGAATATTCTGGTTATTCAAAGCATTTATCTCATTGAGATCCAAAATACCCATTTCAACATGTACACTACCATTCAATAGTTTGGGGTTAGTCATTAAATTGATCAAAAAATGACAATAAAGAAATGTATAATGTCACAAAAGATTTAAATTATATCAATTGATTATATCTTTTTTAAATGTCTGTTTACCAAAGAATCCTGACATGTTTCCCCCAAAAAATTAAACTGCACAACTGTTTTCAACATTGATAATAAGAAATCTTATTTAAACACGTATCAGAATAATTTCTGAAGGGTCATATCACACTGTAAACGGGAGTAATGGCTGCTGAAAATTCAGCTTTGCCATCACAGAAATAATTTCTATTTTAAAATATATTCAAATAGAAAGCAGTTTTTTTAATGTAATAATATTTTAAAATATTACTTGTTTTGACTGTTTTTAACCAAATAAATGTTAACCACAAGCCTTTGAGCATAAGAGACTTCTTTCAAAAACATTAAACATCTTCAAACCTCAGACTTTTGAATGGTTCATGAATGTAAGTGCATATAATAATGCAAAATGGATGTTCCTGAATTGAAGAATAATTCACTAGTTAACAAATGTCTTCAGTGAGTAAAATAATGTGCATGTTAAATTTGCTTATACCATGGTTGGTCTGAATACTTGATTGTGATTGGTTGGCAGGTATGCATTAACACTGTTTAATGCACAAGTCAGTTTAATCACCGTTCTATTTTAATTGCCTGCTTTAATTGACACACACACACACACACAGACAGACAGACAGAGGGAGAGGGAGAGAAAGAGAGGGGGAGGGCTGCTTACACAAAGAAACATTCAGGAGCAAAGAAACCTGTTGTCATCGCTGCCCTGTGACTTTTATTAATAAAATAGCTTTTTTTATAAAAATCATTGTTTTTGAAGTAAGTAAACTCACAACTTCATTGTTTGTGGAGAAAGATGCACAGACGCAGGTAATTCACACACACAACTCATAATTACTTCAAATAAATCTTATAATTAATTGATTCAAATAAATGTCATCTTACTGCACTATTTCATCTCTGTGTCTGATTTGAAGCAGGCAGAATGCTAACTCTTAATGAGCTGTAACTGACAAATGTAACCGTCATTTTAAACCCTTCCTGGTCAAATATTGCGCTGCAAACATCATTAACAGCTTTTACATATCATTGCTGGAAAATGACCATGGTATAAGCGGGATAATGCACAGCTAGCTGTGCATTAAAAGATTTTAATGCACTCCGTGGAGGCAACCTCCACTTCTTTGCCTCCACGTCGTGCATTAAAATCATGAAATGCACAGCTAGCCATGCATTATCCCTTATGTAGTACAGCAACATGTTTACTCTCATGTGAAAAAGACTGGAGAAGTGTGGTTAGACGGTAAGCATGCTGACGTCAATGTACCAAGTCATCTTTTGTTTGTTAATAGGGTTAAAGCATAGATTCGTACTATACTGTGCTGAAATTGAAACCCTGATTACTTGAGTTTCATATAATTGGCCCACACAATACACAATGCAATACATATGTCACAGTGCAACACCTCACATTATCATAATTTGATCGTGATTAAAACTGCATAAAATTTTTCCTCTCTGAGACTGTAGAATTTGTGGAATTCTGTAGATTTCAACAAATGTGGAAAAAAATTGTCCGTTTCCATCTGTGCTTACATATAATCTACTTTTAAATGTGTTTCCTTACGCTTTTTTTTCTCTCTCCAGGTTCTCTACAAACCAGGAGAGACGTCAGTGAGTCATGGAGGACTGTGGTAGCCTCATAGAGTTTGATGTACCTGAGTTCAGCAACACCGTCCTGAACCAGCTCAATGAGCTCCGTCTCCAGGGCAAGCTGTGTGACATCATTGTGCACATTCAGGGCCAGCCATTCCGAGCCCACAAGGCCGTCTTGGCTGCCAGTTCACCGTACTTCCGAGATCATTCATCACTAGGCACAATGAGTGGCCTCTCCATCTCTGTAATCAAGAGCCCTGAGGTGTTTGAGCAGCTGCTCGCCTTCTGCTACACTGGCCGCATGTCATTGCACCTACGTGATGTCATCAGCTTCCTCACGGCTGCCAGCTTCCTCCAAATGCAGGCTGTGATTGACAAATGCACACAGATCCTTGAAGGTATTCACTCTAAGATCAGCATCCCTGTGCCTGGTGGGACCGATCCAGAAAACGATTGCACCACCTCAAGGGCTGGACGCAATGGTGTGAAAGATGGAGGAATCTTTGTAAACCCCACCCAGATTTCGCCACCCTACTATTCTCGTCAGAATCATTGCGCGGAAGGGCGGAGCTCAGGTAAGGGAATGGCGGAGGAGGGTCAGTCAGACCGAGGGAGCAGCGACGGCATATCTGAGCAGGAGGTGTCCATGGAGGTTGAGTCCGAACAAGTGGACCTCATCGGCAAGGATGGACAGGTGACTGATGTCCATATCAAGCTGGAGAAAACGGACCGGCCCAGCTACTCCGATAGCTCGTCGGCAGGTGATGATGGCTACCACACAGAGCTGGTGGATGGTGAACAGGTGTTGGCTGTCAGTGTGGGATCATACGGGCCTGTGCTTTCCTCTGCTGGATACACTTACTCTGCATTACCTTCCTCCTGTTTCGTCAGCCTGAGTTCCTCTAGCCCATCTCGTTCTTTGCTCAGCAGTGTCCGGGGTGGTCGTGCCCGACCGAAACGTCCCGTGCCTCTTCCAGCCGATCTGCTAACTCCGCTCAAGCCTGGTGCTGACGAAGGAGATTCACCTGCGACGACAGCTACCTTAGAGAACGACATAAGGGAGCGTAGTTTCCGTGGACAGTGGTACCCCTACAATGAGCGCCTCATCTGCATCTACTGCAGCAAGTCCTTCAACCAAAAGGGCAGCCTGGACCGTCACATGCGTCTGCACATGGGCATCACACCCTTCGTCTGCAAGTTCTGCGGCAAGAAGTACACCCGCAAAGACCAGCTGGAGTACCACATCCGCGGCCACACGGACAACAAACCCTTCCACTGCCAGATCTGCGGCAAATGCTTTCCCTTCCAAGGCACACTCAACCAGCATTTGCGCAAGAAGCACATGACCTCTGGCACAGAAGTTAACAATCACACTGACTTGCTGGGAGAGGCACCAGATGGCCAGAGAGGGGAGCAAGAGGATACTTCCGAGGGAGAAGCAGCCTGCACTATTTCATCTCTGTGTCTGATTTGAAGCAGGCAGAATGCTAACTCTTAATGAGCTGTAACTGACAAATGTAACCGTCATTTTAAACCCTTCCTGGTCAAATATTGCGCTGCAAACATCATTAACAGCTTTTACATATCATTGCTGGAAAATGACCATGGTATAAGCGGGATAATGCACAGCTAGCTGTGCATTAAAAGATTTTAATGCACTCCGTGGAGGCAACCTCCACTTCTTTGCCTCCACGTCGTGCATTAAAATCATGAAATGCACAGCTAGCCATGCATTATCCCTTATGTAGTACAGCAACATGTTTACTCTCATGTGAAAAAGACTGGAGAAGTGTGGTTAGACGGTAAGCATGCTGACGTCAATGTACCAAGTCATCTTTTGTTTGTTAATAGGGTTAAAGCATAGATTCGTACTATACTGTGCTGAAATTGAAACCCTGATTACTTGAGTTTCATATAATTGGCCCACACAATACACAATGCAATACATATGTCACAGTGCAACACCTCACATTATCATAATTTGATCGTGATTAAAACTGCATAAAATTTTTCCTCTCTGAGACTGTAGAATTTGTGGAATTCTGTAGATTTCAACAAATGTGGAAAAAAATTGTCCGTTTCCATCTGTGCTTACATATAATCTACTTTTAAATGTGTTTCCTTACGCTTTTTTTTCTCTCTCCAGGTTCTCTACAAACCAGGAGAGACGTCAGTGAGTCATGGAGGACTGTGGTAGCCTCATAGAGTTTGATGTACCTGAGTTCAGCAACACCGTCCTGAACCAGCTCAATGAGCTCCGTCTCCAGGGCAAGCTGTGTGACATCATTGTGCACATTCAGGGCCAGCCATTCCGAGCCCACAAGGCCGTCTTGGCTGCCAGTTCACCGTACTTCCGAGATCATTCATCACTAGGCACAATGAGTGGCCTCTCCATCTCTGTAATCAAGAGCCCTGAGGTGTTTGAGCAGCTGCTCGCCTTTTGCTACACTGGCCGCATGTCATTGCACCTACGTGATGTCATCAGCTTCCTCACGGCTGCCAGCTTCCTCCAAATGCAGGCTGTGATTGACAAATGCACACAGATTCTTGAGGGTATTCACTCTAAGATCAGCGTCCCTGTGCCTGCTGGGATCGATCCAGATAACGATTGCACCACCTCAAGGGCTGGACGCAATGGTGTGAAAGATGGAGGAATCTTTGTAAACCCCACCCAGATTTCGCCACCCTACTATTCTCGTCAGAATCATTGCGCGGAAGGGCGGAGCTCAGGTAAGGGAATGGCGGAGGAGGGTCAGTCAGACCGAGGGAGCAGCGACGGCATATCTGAGCAGGAGGTGTCCATGGAGGTTGAGTCCGAACAAGTGGACCTCATCGGCAAGGATGGACAGGTGACTGATGTCCATATCAAGCTGGAGAAAACGGACCGGCCCAGCTACTCCGATAGCTCGTCGGCAGGTGATGACGGCTACCACACAGAGCTGGTGGATGGTGAACAGGTGTTGGCTGTCAGCGTGGGATCATACGGGCCTGTGCTTTCCTCTGCTGGATACACTTACTCTGCATTACCTTCCTCCTGTTTCGTCAGCCTGAGTTCCTCTAGCCCATCTCGTTCTTTGCTCAGCAGTGTCCGGGGTGGTCGTGCCCGACCGAAACGTCCCGTGCCTCTTCCAGCCGATCTGCTAACTCCGCTCAAGCCTGGTGCTGACGAAGGAGATTCACCTGCGACGACAGCTACCTTAGAGAACGACATAAGGGAGCGTAGTTTCCGTGGACAGTGGTACCCCTACAATGAGCGCCTCATCTGCATCTACTGCAGCAAGTCCTTCAACCAAAAGGGCAGCCTGGACCGTCACATGCGTCTGCACATGGGCATCACACCCTTCGTCTGCAAGTTCTGCGGCAAGAAGTACACCCGCAAAGACCAGCTGGAGTACCACATCCGCGGCCACACGGACAACAAACCCTTCCACTGCCAGATCTGCGGCAAATGCTTTCCCTTCCAAGGCACACTCAACCAGCATTTGCGCAAGAAGCACATGACCTCTGGCACAGAAGTTAACAACCACACTGACTTGCTGGGAGAGGCACCAGATGGCCAGAGAGGGGAGCAAGAGGATACTTCCGAGGGAGAAGCAGCCTGCGGAGCAGCTTACCCCGATGATTTGTCAACAAAAATCCCCAGCGAAGAATGTGGCAAGTGTAGTCCAGAAGAAACCCCTGCATCCAAAACCCCTTCGGGATATTGAGAAAATTTTTTATTTATTTATTTGGTTGTTTGTCCGCCTTATCTAATAAGGAAGCATAAAGGGTTACTCTTTCCATGATTAAGCCCAGCTGTTTTTAAAGAATGACAAGAAATAACCTGCCTTGCGCATTTTCTACTCATCCATTTTTGTGGAAGTTCTACACAGGACAAAGATCGAGAGAAAGTTTTTAAGGAGTTTTTCAAAGGGAAAGGAGTCCTATAATCGGGGAATTAAATAATCGGGGAGGAGGTCTCTGTAATCAAGGCCTCCTAAGAGTTTTATCACATTTTTTATATATCTATATATATATATTTCCATGTTTTTCAACATATTTACAGAGTAATATAGGCATGTTGCAATAATGAATAATGTGAAAGCTCAGATGAGATGCTCGTCATATCACGCTTTTACCTGACCTGTTTTTGCACATTTGGCCGGTAGTAGGTCACTCACTCAAGAGGAATGGTTTATCTGCCAGTGCAAGGCTCTTTGTGAAACATCCTTTCAATACCTCATTATACAACCTCAACATACTCATAATGGACAGTATTTGTAGCTTGTCGTCAACTCCAGCCAGGTTTTACCTCATAGCAAAGAACCTGAACGGAGGAAAAGAAGCTTCTCTCAGTAAAGTCCCATTTGTTTTGCTTTCATAGGGTTTGAATGAATGCTGCGGTGAAACCCTGAACAAAACATCTCCAGTCTATCAAGGCTTGATACTTCAGTGAAATATTCCTTAGTGATTGTATGAATTCTGGATTAATCTTGTTCAGTTGTTTAGCAGCCATGTTGTGTATGTCTATGAGAATATTGTTAGTACAAGGTGTACCTGTGGGGTATTTTCAGGATCCAGGATCTTCCTTGTTTTTTTTTTTTGCCATATTTTTCGTAGAATCACAGTTTGTCATTCTACACTCTTTCTGTAACATTATCCATTTGGTTTCAGGTATAATATCAACAGTATAATCACAGATTAGTGCTAGAGTAGCAGCACAGTAAACTATATTATTCAGTTAAGGAATGTTTAGTAAAAATTTTTACTTTTTTTTTTTTTTGCTTTTGTGCCAAGTCTTTTTCATTTTTTTTTTTTCCTCAAAATCTGGCTTTTAATTAAAAAACAACGTTATTTTATTGTTTGAGTTTTCCCAAACAACAATGAAGAGGGTGTGCCTTTAAAAAGAAAGTTTAAGTTATATTAATATATTTGTAGATGCACTTCTAAAAATGGTGCGGGAGTCATGCAAGTTATGAAAATTGCTTTAGGACCGTACCGCCTTGGGAAGAACGTGAAAAAAACAACAACTTCTTGGTGAAATATTGATATCATTAATGTACACACTCGATCAGTGGTTAAAATGTCAAACAGCTCTTCTTGTGTTTAGCTGGCTCGAAAGCCAAAACGTATGGTGTTTCAATACAGAAATGTATAATTAAAGAAGATTCACTTACCGCCGTTATGCTCTTGTTAATGTTAAATAGTGTGGAGGTGTATTGTTTATGCTGTAGGTGTAGTGTAGGGTTTCATACAACAATAGAGCAGTAATAAGTTAAACCTGCAGTGTCAGTACCACTGTTGTGGGCACTTTTATACATTTAGTATTGTGAAGAGAGAGCCCTGGATGCCTATTATCTCCACAATATCTCTTCACATCCATTTTCATTATGTAACTGGTGCAAAACGTCATACTTCACCTTTTTTTTTGGGGGGGGGGGGGGTCTTTTCTTTTTAACTTGTGATTGAATAAGGCTCCTTTTTGTCTCACATGCCAATTGTGTAGATACATTTTGTTATTTCTTATCACCACACTGTCTTATTTGATTCATTCTAACGAATAATAAGTGGCTACATACGATGCAAAACGAGTAAAATGGCATTTTGTTGTGAGCAATACATTAGACTCATATTTTATAGTCCTCACTCACTACAGTCGAGCATCTGCCTCCCTGACTGTCTGCTGTGTATTTGATTTATAGTTCTTGATGCTCAGACAGATAAAAACATGCCTCACTTTTACAAGATTCAAGTTCTTTCAAGTTTGCCTAACATACCATTTGGATATTTACTTTATCACACCCTCTATAAGTGAACTTAACAACCATCAGCCAAGGGTAGTTAGTGTAAGCAGCCAAGACAACTCAATTCTGTCAACCGCAAACCAGTATCACGCCTCGGACTAAACTTTCTTAAAGTACGCTGTTAAAATACACAGTGACTTACATTATAGTGCTGTCCTGTGTTCATTTTCAGTTTGTGTACAGTACTGTTTGTTACTTTATTTAGTGGTTTACTCATAACATTTTTTTAAACCTCCATTTATATCACTGTCAGTTTTTTCAGGTTTCAAATTGAACTTCAGGACTTCTGCCCTTTTTCTCTCTTTCTTTAAAATCAATCAATTTTATTTAGCTCCAATTGCTAATTTTAGAATGCTGAACTATATTTGTGCCATTCAAATCTGTTCATGTGTTTATATTACTGGCAGATTAATTTTATTTTACTGGCTCTTGAGCTTTAAATCAGTTCATGGCAGTTTTAAACAATGAGCCAATGTGATAACTCTGTTATTACAGTTAACGAGCTAAAACTCTGAATGCAGAACACCTTGTACTACTGACAGCATGTTTGGTGTCGTTTTGTGACATGAGATGCCATGAATGCCATTTGAAACATTGTAAGCCTGCTTCGTTCCCTGAACATGTTAAGATTTGCTCTGTTCCTTTAGTGTGATGTTCCTGTTCATCTTAGATAATGTGAACGTGACTTTGGCCACTAACCAAAGAGCAAACCAAAAATTGTAAGGGGTTTGTGTGGTATGTTGCACAGCGGATTAATGAGAGACCAAAACCAAGCCCTGGAACAAATGAATCTGTTTTAGAGGTGTCAGTAGATCTTCTCCGTCTCATTTCCCAGCCTCATGCTGGCTCTAACACCTGTCGGGATTTTATAGCATTGGCTGTCATTTATTTCACACATTGGTGTTAGGTAGATTTTGTTGAGCTAATGTTTTACAATGAATGAAGCTGTAAGCTTTAGCATTTGATGAACAGATTTAGGATGTTGTTCTGTGGTCTTTAAAGAATGATGGTACAAACAGATTTTTATGTCGAGGAAGTTGATTGAACTGGTGCCTTGATGTGAAACATAGGCTTCACTACCGTTTGGGGTCAGTAACATTTTTTTATAGAAATTCATAGTTTTATTCGGTAAAGATGACTAAACACCATTTATAATGTTACAAAAGATTTCTTTTTCAAATAAATGCTGTTCTTTTAAGCTTTCTATTTATAAAAATTAATCAGTAACACTTCACAATAAGGTTCATTAGTTAACATTTTTTAACTACTTTCGTTAACATGAACTAAGAATGAACAATGCTTCTACAGCATTTATTAAACTTAACATTAATTTCAACATTTGCTAATGCATTATTAAAATCAATAGTTGTGCTTGTTAACATTAGGTATTGCACTGTGAATTAACATGAACGACTGGATTTTCATTAACTAACATTAACAAAGATGAGTAAATACTATAATACATTTACTGTTCATTGTTCATTCATGTTAGTTAATACATTAACTTACATTAGCTAATGGAACCTTATTGTAAAGTGTTATTTAGTTTCCATAAAAATACTGAGCTCCTTTTTTTTTTTTTTCTTTTTTTTTTTGTGGTTACCACAGTCCACATTCTGTTTGTACTTCATCTACCTGCCACCTCAGTGTCACTGGTGAAAAGTTGCATCTTTTTTTATCTGTATTAAATAAGAGAGGGATCTTTGAGAGATGTAACCTGCTGCTATGATGTACGCTAAAGATCTTCTTTCTTAATGCATCGAGATTGCAGATATGTACTAAGATATGTACTAAGGCATTACAAGATGTAGATGAGTTTGTTTCTTCATCTGAACAAATTTGAAGAAGTTTAGCATTACATCACTTGCTCATCAATGGATCCTCTGCAGTCAATGGGTGCCGTCAGAATAAGAGTCCAAACAGCTGATAAAAAACAACAATCCTCAAGTAATCCACAACTCGCACAATGTTAATTGACTCAAATCAATTAACATCTTGTGAAGTGAAAAGCTGCGTGTTTGCATGAAACAAAGCCATCATTAAGCGGTTTTAATTTTAAATTGTTTTGTCTGGCCAATATCAGTCCATAATTCATAACTCTTCATCCAGTGAGAAAGTCCATCCTCTGTTGTCCTCTCACATTAAAATCCACTGACATTGTTTATAACTGTTTTGGCTTGTAAACAGTTTTTGATCTGTGCATATTTCTCTCCTGATTCAGACAAGATGACTTTTTCACTAAAGAAAGCAATACTATGCATAGAGGACTCGTATTTTAGTTGGAAGCAACGGTTTGAAGTTAAAAACATGCAGCTTTTCACTTCAGAAGACATTAATTGATGGACTGGAGTGTGGATTACTTGTGAATTGTTGTTTTTATCAACTGTTTGGACTCGCATTCTGACGGCACCCATTTACTGCATTGGGGAGTAAGTGATGCAATGCTACATTTCTCCAAATCTGTTCTGATGAAGAAACAAACTCATCTACATCTTGGATGGCCTGAGGGTGAGTACATTTTCATCAAACTTTCATTTTTGGATGACTTTTTTTAACGCAAACTCTGTCCGACTCTTGTTCTCTCATGTATTCGGGACATTGCAAAAAGGGGGGAAAAAAAAAAAGTAGAACTCAGGGTTTAATAGTATTCAGAAAATGCCATTTTGGATGTGCAATGATCTTTGTGTGTCCAAAACTAAGATTGCACTTTTACTTCAGGAGGGGAAACAATTCCCCAGACATTGGTTCCCAAAACAGTCTGCCTCATAGGTGTAGTAAAATGCACCTAAATGTGTCAGTTTCTTGCTCTTCCCGAATGCACCACTGAGGAAAGCAGATCTTTAGCTCGTATCGGATAAGTAGCACTCTGTCATCCACTATATGTACAACCTCACAACCCAACTGTGAACCTCAGAACTTTACTGTTTTATACAACTATGAAGTACAAGAAGCTAGCTGACACCTATGCTGTAACAATTAACTCGCCATGTATGAATTTTATTTTATAGCATGAAATATAAAGTTATATTTATTCAAATTATATATTTTACTCATAATCATTCTGTGCTGCTTTTTGTTTTCGTTCTTAAAGCTTGTATATTGCTTTTTTATGATACAAAGAAATGTCAATAGATAAAAAAATGCATTTGTTTGTACAATAAAGATGCTGATTTGGCAAAATGTCTGGACATCTTTGCTTCACTCATTCACTCAGTATATGCATTGATGTGTGTGTGCATTAATGCTGATGGCCACTAGATGGAGTACATGTATAGCAAATGTATTATTGTTTATTAAAATGGCAATAATAATATGCAGAGGTATTGCAACTACAGTTTACACTTCATAAGCCCTTGATCAGGACCCAAGCATATTATTATTATTACATTTTAAATTATTAAAATAAAAACGTATTTTGCAAATTAATAATAATAATAATACATTTTAAATGACCAATCTAAATATCTCTAAATACATCAGTCAACATTTTGATCATGATGGAATTGAAATTGGATTATATTGTATTGTCCCTGAAGGGAAATTTGTCTTTGACTCCATTGTGAATTAAACTGATCTATATGATGCGTCAGATGGACTACCAGCTGGTGTGGCCAACTTTGATCTGGTAGACCTTGATCAAGCTGGTTAGAGCTGGCAAACCACTTTGGACCAAAAACAAACCATGCTACCATGTCCTGAAGTCCAGACTGACCATAAGCGAGTCCAAACGCGTGTCACCTTTTTTTTATTTATTTTTTATACATCAGATTAAAAATCCTCTATAATGTTTTGCAGTAAAGCCAGTGTCCCACTTTACCTGAATAAAAAGTAAATAAACCGTTCAAGTGAAAAGCAGTCCATAGCTGCATTTATTATCGCATAGAAATTAAATAAAATGTCAATATATTTACATTTACAAAGGTTGTAGCATCACAACAGAATGGCTGAGATTATAACAAGATCATTATAGTTAACGAAATCGAAAACCATAAAAAATGTAGTTACTAAAAAAAGCACAAAATAACTAAAACTGAAATAACAATTAATATAAATTAATCAAAAACTATAGGCATATTTAAAAATATATATTTAATATGAAACAGAAAATATAAATATAAAATATTAACAAAAATATAAGTGAACACTGAACCATAGGCTTTTATCTATGCTATACATTCACAAAATACATGTCACTCTTCTTCAAATCATTATGAAATCAGCAAATAAATATAAATAGGCGCAGTAAATAATAATGCCATAACAAACGTCTCACAATTAATTTTAAAAATCATAAAAAATACCTCCGTTTCTTCAAAAACGAAAAATAAACACTACATCTCCTCAAAGGAACATCAAAATTAAACAAACCTGTTACGCTGTACCTCTTTCCACACACATTTCCAGCGCTGCGTACACAAAACAAGGAGACATAATATGCGCGCGACAGTATTGACCTAATTAATGATTGGTCATTCATTTATGGGGGCGGAACCTGGCGTCCACCCAGACGCCACGCTATTGGCCAAAGCTTCTGTCCATCAAATGTTATGGGCACAACACTTCCTGATGTCGATGCCCAGCTGTTGGCAAATGATCCGCTTTTCCACCATCCGATAACATCGTCTCTATACACAGGACAGCCCTCACTGTTTCTCATCATACCTGCTCAAAATAAGCTTCTTGCGAAGACGACGGCCATGTACGATGTAGAATAACGGAAATAGGCTTAGATCGCCCAGTGGATGAGAGTGAATCCTTTCAAATTGGATTTCTGTGTCCTTAAGGTCGTGTTGCAGTGCAGCAACGTAAGCTTTGCGTTTACCGGCGCTTGCATCTCAACAGCGGGGACGAAGACAGTGGCATATTTTCATTGACAGGTGAGTTGAACTGTACGTGCCGTTGGCATCTGTATCTGTATAGAGCATCACGCGCAAATGAAAACAGCATCAGCAGGGATGGAGTTGCGTCACGGGGGGTCGTCTGCCTCTTTCCCAACTGGGTACCACACTGTCAATATGATGCATGGCGCCATTACATCTAAAACAGCGTGCATATGCAGGATGCTTTTTGTCATGGCATTATGCTCAGATGTTATGATACCAGGGGTCGTCTGCCTCTTTCCCAGCTGGGTACCACACTGTCAATATGATGCATGGCGCCATTACATCTAAAACAGCGTGCACATGCAGGATGCTTTTTGTCATGGCATTATGCTCAGATGTTATGATACCGTTTTTCTGTAAAGATTCTGTTTTATTTTATGTCTTAAGCAAATTGGAGGATGGAATAATAGATTTTTAGGTGGTGGCTAATCAATATTCAGGAATATGCTCTGCTAGTTATGCCTGCACTGTCATATTATTAAAAGAAATAAGAAATATGAGATGGAGGTTAAATCTTTTTCAAAAGAGTAAGAATCTCAGCAATACTATAACTGACAGGGTGATGACAGACAGCTTAAAGCAAAACACTCCCTGAAGCTGTTATACATTGTGCTTTTGTTGATGTGCATATGCTTATGTGTAGGTTTAGAGTTTATTTATTTATTTTGTTTTTTGTATGGGGATTTCAGATAGAACCAGCCTTCTGCCTTTGTTTAAGTGGCTGATGTTATGGCCCGGAGATACTCCCTTGACTTTAGAAAGCACCTGTGTTTATGTGTTACAGTAGTTGCACTTTCACATTGGCATTGTGGAAGGTGCTGGTAGACCGAGGTAGGCTACATGTAATGGTTTATGTAAGTGTGTTACATTTATGATTATGGATCAATTGTAATGAGCAATTAGCATCAATATAGGCTCTTATTCTTAGTAGAATATAAAAAATTTGCATCCAATTAAAGTTACATTTGAAACTGAAATGGATTTGCTAACTTATTTATTATCTGGCAATGTTTGATACAAGCTGCAGTGAAGGGCAATGATATATATATATATATATATATATATATTATAGTTTTTTTCTGGAGTCTCAATGTACATTTAACTGATACATTACATGACTGTGCATGCAAGCAATACATTAACTGACTGTGCAAGTAATATTAATACTTTTACATTTACTCTTTGCCAGCACCATACATTAAATAATGGATGTTTCTATTAGTGCACACACCTATAAAAGTTAAACACATTTTTTTGGTTCATTACTGATCCCATAGCAGAGTGTGGCACATATGAATGTACCTTGTACATTTTAAAACAAAGACAGAGTCTTCTGTCTTTTTTAAAAGTTTAATAAAATATGTGTCATTACACATTCTACAGCAGTGGCTCTCAACATTGTTGACTCGAGGGCCCCCATTGTCCAGCACAAAATTCAAAGTTCCCCTTTTTAAGATATTTCCTCTGATATTTCAGCTGTAATATGACATTTTTTTTAGATTTCAAAAGAATGTACTTACAATTTGTCTCACGGCAAATTTTTTTTTTTTGCGGCAACCACAGCTGCCCTTTTTTTTTTTTTT